CAGTCCGTTTTCCAGGTTGGGGACCAAGCGATGCTGAATCTCAGTGGTTGGAAACATTAGACGTGATGGCGCGCAACAGACATCAGTGGCGTCAATGCTGTTCTGCCATTTTACCATCCCTTTGATGCACACAGAAGCTCACAAAACAAGACAAAAGAAAACAAAATGGCGTGTGTACAACCAAAAAAATCATTTCCCTAATTTTTTAGTCGCAGTTAATGTTCACATCTTCACCTTTATCTTCTGCCATGGTTCTGATGGCACAATGTCTATATACATATATATATATATGTATATATAATATAAAATAAAATAAAAAATAAAAAAATAAAAAAAATAAAATAAACCCAATAATGCATACAGATACGGTGGCATAACTCTTCGCTAAATTACCAAATGAAGTAATTTGGTTAGCAACAAATCCGTGATAAGTAAGAAATGTCCACAAGTTACTTAAAATGCTACAAACGCAACAAAATTACCGAAGATAAGCGCAATTAGTGTAAGCAACGTGGCCAGTTGATAGAACATTATTCAGGGAGGCAGAACAAACCAAATAAAGCGGAATGAAATTGATCCAGCTTAAAAAGACCTAGTTTAAGTGTAAATTGGTTTAGCCCAACTGCGGTGAAGAAGCATCAAGCATGCAACATCAGCCTCAGCATGGGGCATATATATATATATATATATATATATATATATATATATATATATATATATATATATACATATATATATATATATCAGAATCATGGCAGAAGAAAAAGGTGAAGATGTGAACATTAACTGCGACTAAAAAATTTGGGAAACGATTTTTTTGGTTTTACACACGCCATATATATACACGCGACATCTACATATACGAGGCTATCAACTTTAGTTTTGCCTCGTGCTTTGTCCCCAACAGATCCGTTTCATCCTCCACTTCCTAAAAGAACGACCGAGCTATACTGCAATATCCCTGTGACGTTAAGAGAGGTGCGAAGTGCCATCGCATCCATAAAACCATCAACCATCCAGGCCCAGATGGCATCTCTCCAACTGTTATAAAACGGAGGAAAAAACCTCGCTCTACTGTTATCAAACATCTTCACAATTTCTCTCACTACCGGCTGCTTTCCAACTCAATGGAAGCAATCCATCATAATGCATAAGCACAAGGGTTGCCTGAGAAATAAAGTGTCTAGCTACGGCCCAATTAATCACACCTCTGCTGCTTCCAAAGCCCTAGAGCGAATAGTCAAGAAGAACATTTTACAATATCTTACAATACTGGATCTGATCAACCTCTCACAGCATGGCTTTCTCTCAAAACGCTCCTGCCTTACATGCCAGCTACAATTCTTCGAGCACGTCACGCCTGTGGTTGACAGAAGAATGGCAATCATTATAATTCTGTTGGGCATGCAAAAGACGTTCGACCGCGTGCCGCACAAACCACTACTGTCTGCTCTAGTCATATGGAATTGGAAATCCTCTGCTAAACTGTTTTGACTCATACCCAAACGGTTGAACCCAGGAAGCTAGAATCGGTCAGAAATATTCTACACCGAAACAAATAACCAGCGGCGTCTTCCAGGGAAGTGTGCTCGGACCACTACTTTTCCTAATCTACGTAAACAACACATGCGACCGGATCTAACATGGACACCCATTTCTGTTTGCAGATGATGTCAAACTGGTCTACTCATTTCATCCAGACCAACTACATATATGTTTGGGAAACCTCTGTGAAGACCTATCCGCACTAAACATAGCTAGTGAAAGTTTATTAATGTCGTTCTCCGCAGTGAAATTCCAAGTACTTGGGTACAGATGCCGCATTCCAGAAGGCTCTATCACACTTGCCGGAACCGTGATCCCAACATCTGATTCAGTTCGGGACTTAGGAATTTGATACTCAAACTCTTTCAATTTCTCCGAACATGTGCTTTATCAGGTTGCAAAAACAAGGCACCTATGCGGATATATCACCAGAACTTTCTACCTACCTGAAGCACGACTTGAGTCATTCAAGACAATAGTACGACCGACTCTGCAATACTATACTATCGTTCACAGCCAATTGAGAAAGAAAGACAGAACGGCTCTGGAAAATGTCTAAAATTTTGATTACTCTATTTCGTATTATTTATATCATTTTTCGGATATCCTGCTATATTGTGTTACGCCATTTTTTGTGTTGGTGTTGACACTGAAACCTGGGAAACCGAGCCATGGATTCAACATTCATCATCATCATCATCATCATCTCTGGCCCCCACATTCTGAAAGCATGTGAGAGGGTGGTACCGCAATGAATACGCAGGTGTCAGGGATTTATCATTTGTCACTCAATATCAGCGTTGGATCATACAATCGGCTTCCGCAGAGGCTTCGTTCAGACAGTCTAGTCTTGATGGTTTTTCAGCTGTGTAGAGTAATTGGACTCGATGACTATTTGCATACATGCCATCACCGGTCATTCCATGGCCAAGCGTTGAGTACACACGTGCACTTCTCTGATTCTCAATGATCTTCCTTTTGTAATGATAGAGGCTACCAATGATCCTGATTTCTAGTGGTAGCTTTTCCACATCATCGCATCGTCAACCATTTGAACTAATGATTCGCTGCCATACAACTATAACGAGCTACATAACGAAGAATAATAAAATAGAGAGAAGGAAGACCTACTGTAAAACCTTAATGATCCAAGCAAACATTCAGAGTTAGGGCGCCTACACCTTGTCAACAACATGCCATCACAAGCAGCTGGTTACCATGCAAAGACAAGGCGGCCTCGGCGAGATAGCCTCCTTGGGGTTTTCAATGCCCCGCGTCATGATCAGTCATTATCCTGCAGATAACTAGGCACTAAACACACTATAAATAGGCAGTCCAACTAGGAGACGACAGCAGATGCTCCACTGGTGCCGACTGCAAGTCATGTGCTGTAATGTCTAGAGCTAAGCACAAGGCGAGTCCCTTCGACTCCAGTCTGGAAGGCGATACTTAGGATCGCAAAATATCAACAGCGCCCTGCGCATCTGTGAATGTCAGAACGTCTACAGAATCTTGTTCCTGCTCCTCGTCTAATTCACATACTGGTGTGCAAAATTGTAATGGCAGGTAGACCTCAGTTTATTTCTGTTGTGCTGTTTTGGAGATTAGAATCAACCAGGGAGCTGTCAGTCAGCTTGCAACTAAACAATTCCTTTGAACGGTTATCTAGTGCAATAGAGGTGACAAAAAGTACAAGTTGCTCGTCTGCCTCGGGTCCAGTTTGCATTGCTGTCTCAGAATCTACATCTGCGGGACAAGGAAACGATGCTTAGTAAATACACTTAAAGATTGTTGAGTTCTCCACCTAGTTCCATTTGGAAGCGATCCAGCACACGACGTCCAATAAATTTATTAGTTTCATGAGTTCAGTTCCGGACATCTTTTTGTGTGATTCCATGATGGTAATAAAATTTAAAGTTGTATTTTTCCTTAACTTTATTTACGTACCTGAATGTCACACTGACCGACGGGTTGAAATAACGTAGTAGTGTTAGTTGACGGAAACTGCAGTTTGACATTATTTAGCTGGATTTTGAATTAGTAACTGGAACTGTCAACAAACAAATGTTACACTTTTTTATGTATGTCTCTGTCAATTCTTTTAAGCCAATCTTCAAAGGTAATTACAGTCATCCATGCTTTTTTATTATTCTTGTAACTTACCGATAGTTTTTCATATTGGTTTTTAAGAATTCCCGGATCGCCTGCTTTCCCTATCACTAAGGCCGGTTCTCGCTCCCTCAAGCGTGTTAGTGCATAGCATTACTGTGCTTTCTCCTTACATTTTTCCACCTATCCATCTTTTTCCTCTGACAAAAAATGTTTTGTCCGACATTTGTTTCAATAACAACGCAGTTTCATCTAAATTTAAGTTATATTGAGCTGTGTAGCCGGAACATATTTAGTGTAACTTTGCTATCTAGTCTGGTGCAGCGCACCTTTCTGAGACACCACGTTCGCCAAATTGCTTGCCAAACACGAGGTGCCTATTGATGAAAGCCTGCAGCCAACCGTTTGGAGCTGTAACGTCCGGGTTTTTCATTTTTTTTACAAAGTGCAAAGCTTGTTCTTGAATTATTGGTCCAGAGAATAGCATCATTTCCAACGACTTGTGTTTATGCTTTCAATTCCCGTTTATTTGCTTTTTTTAAAAGTCTTGGTGCATTGTTTTCAAAGTTATTTAAAGGCCCGGCTTTCCTTGTTACAGTTCCAAGGATTTGTGTCTTTCTTACTTCAAAATGCCCTGTCATTGTTTATGAACATTTTCTCCATCAACTTTGTCGAATCACAGATATTCTTTTTTCAATTGGTAATGCCTTTGGCTTCGCAGTTTTTGGATCTAGCCATTTTGTCTTTTATCAGACATTTCAACCAGATTGCTGTACTTTCTTTTTATCTCCTGTAATTTATACGGACCGAATACGCGCGTGGGTAAACAACGGCACACAGTCTTCCCATAGTACCCGGGAATAGCGATAATGTGTACTTTGGTGGACAACTTGCAGACGCATTAGACACCCATTTACGTGCGCGAGCAGATAATTTGCCACTGCGCTGCTGATTTCTTGTCTTTCTACCCAGACGAGATATGCAGAACGAACGGACAATTATGACACTTCGGATAAACTTTAAGCCATCTGTGCGATACGGTGGTGGAGTTTCATGACACCTTAATACGAAATCTCAGCCATTCGTGCTATTGGTAGTCGTGTTTTACAATTGCTAGAACGCCTGGAGACCACAAAAATGTGGTCGTAGTTGCTTTGGACAGATGCGATGTACAGGCTAAAACCATTGAGAAAATATAGGGAAAACTTTAGGGATGTTTTTAACTGGTCCGTATAGGAAATTGGACTGCATTGTGATTACTCTTCCTTTAAGCAAATGTTATTTCACCCCGGCTCTCTTTTCTTTCGGATTGTGCATGACTCGCGATTTCCTGTATTCCTTCATAGAACACCGGATTTACATATGCGGATACTGTGGAAAATGTTGTTCCCGTAAAAGCAACCTCAAAGTCCACGAGCAGTCTGTCCACCTAAGTGAGTTCGACATCGGGTTATAATTGTTCTGTTTTGGTGGTGTCATGTAAGCTCTCTCCATGTAAAATATCACCCTCCCAGACTATTCACTTCATAACATGTACCGTGTTGTAAGTTGGTGCAGTTCAATTCGCAGTGGACGCACAAGCGAATCTTCAGCAACATATGTCATTATCTCTTGACTCCTCATTTGACTTTAGCCTTACTGATTTTTAGAAATTTTTAGGGAATTGTTTCACTAATTCACGGGATGTTTTGTGACATTGGTTTCCAGTTTAACAGTTGTGTATACTCAAGTCCCCATAAGTTTTATGCACTCGTGTAGGTACATTTTCGGCCTTTACGCAATCACAACGAATGGAAAAAATACGTGAAATGAAATGGATGCAAAATTCATCCAGAAGCACATGGAATCGCGAGTAAAGAAGCTCAAACCCGTTTCCGCGGTGAAGCGGACGATATACTTATCGTTACCATCTAAGAGTGACGCGATAGTGGAACGGACCACCCGAGGACTTTCTTTAGAAACAGAGCAAATGTATTTTGCCGCTAATGCACGAGTAAGCTTCACCTCAACACCGATTGTGCGCCAACAACTTAATGACAGGATACCTCGGTCGCAGACCTCCTTCTGTGTGTACAATTTCTCTTGCTCGTGTCGGGCAAGGTATATTGGGAAAACGACCAGGCAACTGTCCGTTAGGGCTCGAGAGCATTACCCAGCTTGGATCTACAACGGCGCGAAGAAGAATGTAACGTGTGCAGTGTTGTCGCATTTAGTAGACTCCAACTATCAAATCGATTCGCATGACCCATTCACACCGATCAACTGTGTCCCCGGATGTTGCACACGGGCAGTCAGATGTCGCCTGCTGTCGACAGCAGAGGCGATCGCAATTAGGCTCTATAACTCGGACCTATGTGCACAGAAAAAAAATCGTCCATACTTTAACTCTGCCGTAACCTCAGACCAACGCGACTAACAATGACATTCACGCCACTTCACCTGACCTCACCTCAACCAGGCCAAGCAAGTAGACTTATTGCTTAGTTACTCTGCTTCAGTGACCCAATTTAAACCTATTGTGTCTATTCTAGCTTGCTTTATTGTGATTGTATTAACCTGATGATGAAGCCTTGAAAACAAACTTGTTCGCTACTTTCCGTTTCTAATGTTGAAATGAATGTGTACTAACAACTAATGTGCCCGATAAAAATTGTGCACGCGTATCATTCAGACGAACAATCACGCATCCGACTGATGCTTTTCTTTAATTCCACATGTAATCGTGATATGTACGGTAGGAGACAATTATGGTAAGATGCAATACGCGAAAATTTAAGGCGTGTGTACAATCTAACTGCGTTTCTGATAGCTCCTCATGTACTGATTGGAAAGAGCCATCTAGAACTACAAAGCACAAACTGGTACAAGCATCTACGTGTTTGCTAACAATTAAACCAACGGAATAAGCAAGAAAGTCATCAGCAGTACGCCGGTACACAGTACCAATGCTTCGCTTCTGCGCGACCACCACCATTCGCACGTGGGCTAAGGATATTGCGAAGGTCGCCAGGTCCCTGCGCAGGCTCCAACTCGCGCCGTCGGATTACAGGACAAGTGTGATCCTTAACGCTACGGGCCGGCAACCAGGGCCTTTCTAGACAACTCAGTACATCTATAAGTACATTTTGGCAACCGTGCGAATAATGTCTAAGCTTTGTTTTGATTAGCCTAGGAAACAGTACACGTGATCCGTAGAGCTAACGTATATGATGCTGATGAAGCTGCTGCTGCTGCTGCTGATGACGATGATGATGGATGATGATGATGATGAGAAGGAAGTGGAGAAGGATGATGCTGTGATGATCAGTAGAGGCAGTGCGACAGAATGTTCATTGAAATCGCTACACTTACGATATCCCCTAATTGGCGGGCCGTTTTTCGGAATATTTTAGGTATACAACCAGCTTCACTGCTTAGGCTTACATTTTCTGGAATGCAGGTCTATGTAAGAACTGAATCCAATTAGCTGTGTCGTTATGGGACTGTATGAAACAATGACACTTTTTCCAACGGCTGCTTCATCTTCTAACTGCGATATGTGAGCCCTTGATTGTGTATTTCCAGCTATTGAACCTTTGTTTGTAACATCCTTGTTGCTGTGTTGAAACTGGTAACTTACTCGAGGTGTTTATTTGTTGCGCCCAAATTTACTAATGTTCGTTAAGTATAGCCAATTTATCTCACCTTATCAATGGGATCATCCATAAGTACTGGAACATGCGCACACTACTCGACCGGAATACGGGAGAGCACCACGAGCGACGCGCTGCACAGGTCGAGATGGAAATAACGTGCTACAACATCGTTATTGCCTCGCTCAGCGAAACCCGGTTCGCTGAGCACGGCAAGTTACATGAAGCTGGTGCCGGCTTTATGTTCTACTCGGTGGAAAACGCCATCTCAGCACCACGTGAACATGGGGTCAGATTTGATCATCCGATCTCCTAAATGACCAGCTGATGAGTGAACCCACTGGCATCAGTGCGCGACTAGTTGTTGTTCGCCTACCACTCGGAGGAGGTAAGTTTGCCAGTTTTATAGACACGTACAGTCAGACCATGGGTTATCCTGATTATTTGTACACTCAGTTATGCTCCATGATACGATTCCTGCCGAGGAGCGACCGACTATTTTTGCTGGGTGACTTCAACGCGCATGTTGGGCGTGATGCTTCCGTGTGGACAGATGTCATCAGTCCGTATGTCATCGGTTCAACGAATGTGAACGGTGACAGGCTGCTCTAACTGTGTTTCACTTGGGCAGACGAACACTCGGTTTGCACTGAGTGGGATTGATATATCAACTTGGACTCACCAACGAAATGGTCACGGTCGACTGCTGTGATAGGATTGTGCAAGCAAGCGGCTAGCGTGCTGAAAGCAAATAGCAGTTGGTTGAAAGCCTGTGCATCTTTCGTCTACGCGCTGATTGGCTCGCTTGCGCGGGTTTGTTTAACTGATTCAAAGGAAGAATCTCATGGGTGCAACAGCGTCGATAGTTATGGAAATGACTTATTTATATCGAGGTTCCTACATGCTTGTCAAGGTGTCATTTTTGCTGAGCTTGTTTCGCCGAATAAACCGTTTTCCCCTGAAGGACCGAGTACTGCAACATGGTATCAGAGAAAACCAAGCCAAGCTCACCCATTGGCGCTCAATTGCTGGTTGGAGCGCAACCAGCTGTGCAAACACTTGCCCCGCTAAACCTGGAAGAACAAAATATGGCCAATAATTGGGGAATCTGGAAAAGCAAATGGATCGATTTCTGTGTACTGGTGCGGCTGAATGAACAACCGATTGGCAATGTTTAGACATACGGTCGGAGATGAAGCACTCTGCGTCTTGAAAACTATGCAGTACGAAAAGGATGAAGACACTGCTGATCTGGGAACTGTCCTCCGAAAATTCGGTGATTTCTGCGAAGGCCGGCCTAACGAGACGTATCAGCGTTATCTCTTTTTTTACTTGAATCCGATGTCCAAACGAAACTTTCGAGAACTCTGTTACATAGCTGGAAGTCCTGGCTCATTCCCGTATTTTTTGCTATTGTATGGCTGACAATCTCATCCGAGATAGAATCATGCTGGGGATCAATGTTGAAAACATCACCGAGCGACTTTTGCGGCAACGGCGGTTATCGCTCAGAAAATGCTTTGATATCTGCCACACTGGATCATCAGCTTCCCACCACACCCAGCAAATGCGGTTTCCGACTGAAGCAGAGCTATGTGCCGTATCCAGTTTACCTGACAAAACTGCGAAGCCTATTATCAAGACACACGAAGCTTTCAAATTCTGCGCCACGCGATCAGTGTCCAGCGTGGGGCCGAATTTGCGCCAGATGCTGCAGTCCGAATCATTTCGTTCCATGTTGTCAGTCTTCGAAGGTGAGTGCACTCAATCGTGGCACAACGTCCTCCCACCTAAGTGATGTAACGTGTGTAGCAGACGATATACTGATTTACGGCTCAAACGAACAGGAACAGGACGCCAATCTGCACCACCTTTTGCTGCGATGCATGGAAAAACATAAAGCTCAAACGCGAGAAACTTGAGCTCCGGAAACCGGAAGTGATGTTTCACGGGCACGTTCTGATATCCGAGAGAATAAAGATCGATCGCGGAAAAATCAAGACAGTGCACGAAATGCCACAACCTATAGACGTCAAGGGTGTTAGTCGTTTAAATGGTATGGTTAATTATTTGAGCCGGATCTTGCCAACACTTGCTGAAATCATGACGCCCATCCGGAGACTACTGACTCACAAAGGTGTAAAGTGGAGTAGGGGAGAAGAGCAGGAGACCGCCTTTACAGCCATCAAGGATCTTATTAGCTGTGCACGAGTACTTGGTTTCTGTGATCCAGCTCTACCTTTGAAGGTGCAGTGTGACAGCGGCCCAAACGGACTAGGTGTCGTTCCCCTGCAGGATCGTAAACCCTTACATTTTCGCAGTCGGGTGCTCACAGTGCGCAGATCGAAAAAAGATGCTCGCTGTTGTCTACGCAATGGAGCGTTTCATCTACTAGACATTTGGTAGGAAGACTGCAATGTATACTAACCGTAAATCGTTCGGGTCAATAGTTAGTAAACCCTTACGCAGTGTCGCTCGACGTCTTCAATGGATGCTTATGCGGCTCTAAAAATACGACATGGATCTGGTGTACACTCCGGTGACGCAAATGTCTATGGCAGACGCTCTGTCGAGAGCTTATCTTCCGACAGTCGAACACCAACAAGAAGAACTCGAGGCAGTCAATCTCGTACAACATCTGGCGGTAACGACAGATCGCCTGAAAGAGATAAAGCGTCATACAGAGACAGACGCGACGTGGATGGCGTTGCGCGACGTGATTTTGAGGGGATGGCTATATACAAAGGATAAACCTCCGAAGGAATTAACGCCGTTCTTTAACTTTCCGGATGAACTAACGG